GAACGGCTTCGTGGTGCTCAAGGGGCGCCCCTGCAAGATCGTGGAGATGTCCACCTCCAAGACGGGCAAGCACGGCCACGCCAAGGTGAGCGGCCCCGGGCAGGCTCTGCAAGCCCCAGTCTGTTGCACAGCCCGCAGTGTGTGCTCCTGCGGCTCCCGGCCCTCCGAGCGGCATCGCTGTCGAGCGGCATCGCTGTCTCGTTGCGTGGCTGGCCGAGAAGGAAGGGTGTAGCATTTCATTTGGCAGAGCGTTCTGTATCCTGCCTTCGCTTTTCTTGCAGCAGTGTCTCGTGTGTCTCTTCAGTCTACAGTTAGCTCAAGGGTTTCCAGTAACGTAAAGGAGGAAGGATTGAGGACGGGGGGGTTGGGTTGGTTTTTTTCTCCCAACTTGTTAAAAAGCTTTACCGCTGGTAGTGATAAAACCTGTTTCTGTAGTGAGGGTAGAGTAAGTTCTGGAAGGGGGGGCTGATGAAATCACTAGGGCGTGGTTGGATTGTGCTGTCGCTACCCACCAAAGCACTTTTGTGTCTGCCTGTGCTAGCAGACTTTCACTATTGCAGCGCTCGACTTAAGCACTTACTAGAATTGCCCACGTTCTGTTACATAATCCAGAAGAACTCAGCGGACAATCGTTACCTCTGTGGGCCTGCTCTGGCCCTATTTTGCTAGCTTGCCTCGCTGCTTCTTTGCTTTTTTCAGCACTGGGTGAGGAGTACCTTCCCCCTCCTGCGTCCCAGCAGGGATATTCTTAGGCTGCTGTCTGAGGCTGCAGGCCTGCTGCCTAAGCAGTTGGCTCGTGCAGCTGTCCAGAGCTTGGACCAAGGCTAGACTCCCCTTCGTTTATTCAACAACACTTCATGGTGGGTATATTAAAGTTTAGAGACAGATCTGTTACAAGCATAGACTAATTAGAGTTGTCAGTTTCCACAGCCTTGTATGATACATGTAGGTGGGTAAAGTATTTAGGATTTGTCAAAGCTAGAGTATACCAAGCCCTTGCCAGTTTTTTTCCTTTTTCCCTTCCCTTGTGTTTTTTATGGCTTGTTTTATTAGACAGATCCAGTTTTCTTAAATACTGAAACAGTTGTGAGAGTGAAAGGACGTGAGAAGAGCAGGCTGTGAACTGGTAATCCAAGTGCTAGCTGCAGTGGACAGCTGCTGCTAGCATAAAGGGAAGTGGGAGCTGCTTTAATTTCTGTGCATGACCACCTCTTCTTTTCCTCTTAACCTTCACGTTGTCACCGGCACGGTTGTTTCTCAGAACAGCTAGAACTTGAGGTAGACGTTTTCTTAACAGCTGCATACTCTGAGCTCCAGCTTGCTGCTGTAAAACTACAGAAGCAGTTTGGCTACGGAAGATAACAGTGGCTGATTTTTGTTCTCACGTAGTGTTTCTATAGTGTGCTATGAAAGGGTGAGAGAGACCTTTTTTCAGTCCTTGGGCTGCTTTCATACCGCAAGCAAAAGGGTCTAGGCAGAATCTGGTATTACATGTGATCTCTTTGTGGAACCAGCAATACCATCTTGCTTCTCTAGGACCAACAGTAACTGCTGTTATTTTTCTTCTCTTATAGGTCCACTTGGTTGGTATTGATATCTTCACTGGTAAAAAATACGAAGATATTTGCCCATCAACTCATAACATGGACGTTCCAAATATCAAGAGGAATGATTACCAGGTGAGTGAAAAGTCACTGTGTCCTCCACACATTTAAGAGGCTTTATACTCCTAATAGCACACATAAACTCTCTTCATCCCAAAACTTGCCTCTCAATTAATAAAGTACTGTTGTCAGAATTAATGGAATTTGCCTGTCTAGACATGACATTGCTGAACTCTTAGCATTTACTGAATTGTTAAAACTGTCGGAGCTCACTGATGGAGAGCTCCTTACTGTACTAACAACCTCATGTTACAGTAGCAATCTTTAGAAATGACAGGTAATAGACATAATTAAGAATCACGTTTTTTCTAGCTCATGTTGTAAGGTCACTTCTTTATTCTTTGTGATACTGGCATCCTTTAGAATCTGGAGAGAAGTTATCCCTGCTGCAAGTTCTTATTAGTTAAAAGATATCAGGATCTCACTTCAAGTAAATTTGAATCTAAGTATATATTGTCATTTATAATTTCACCCTTACATAGGGTAGATGAATCAACAAGACAGTCTTAAACTGCATCTGATGCCAATTCTAACTTGCGACAATGCTTTCTGCTCCTTGCGTGGACACTGGCTTTAGTTGATCTCAAGTAATTTTGGTGCTCCTGAGCTCTGCTCTGAAATAGATGTATGGAGGGAACTTGGCAGGCTTCTGTAACTTCTGTGATATGGATAGTGAACTCTTGAAAGCAGCACAATTCAGGTTCTGAGTTGTAACATGTCGGCTATCTTCCCATTATCTTGGGAGTATGCCTGGTCGGGAACTGATTCATCCACGTCAGTTGGAAAGCTGCAATTGCTTGACAAAGCCAAAGTTCAGAGTGTTAGCAACACTTCAGGACAGCTGAAGCTGTTTGAATAAAGTGTGACTAGCCTGTCTTAGGGCTCAGACCTTCCAAGAGATTCTTAATGTTTTCTTGGTGATCTTTCTCTTGGGTTCTTATTGCTACTGAAATTCTTGCTGTTTATCAGACTTGCTAGGGCTGCCTTTTAGGTTTACTATTATGTGTTCCAAGTTCCCTAACCTGCTCTGTCAAAATAGCTGTTCCCCTTAGTTCAGGCTTTTGGTTAGGCTGAAAACAGCATTATAAAAGTGGTCCAGAGCTTGGTGGATGTTTCCTAATTCATTCATTAGCCTTTAATGTAAATGGTAGTATGTCATTGTACAAATGAAGGTATAGAAGTGTACAGTTCAACCGTCGTGTACTCTGTACACTTTATAAAAGCAATGCTGTTCAGTGAACACCATTCCAGTTATTGTTTCTAACTCACCCATGTAAAAAGCTGAACCAGTGATCTGGAAGCAGTACATTTTCTAAATCATAAGGATGGGTTTTGCAGTGCCCCACATACTAGGAAGTAACCAGCAGGGTTCTGGCGGTTCTTGATAGCAGACTGGCTTTTGCTACAGTTGGCCTGAGTCAGCCCTCTAAACTGTTGTTAAAAATTGACTTAAATTAGGTTCTTAACTGTTACAAACACAGTTCTAAAGAATTAATGTACCAGGTAGAGTTCACTGCCTTCTACTTATCTTCAGCTACTGCCTACTAGTGACTACTGATGTTAAACTTTCTAAAAGTGAACTTCTCTTCACAGCTGATAGGTATTCAGGATGGGTATCTCTCCCTGCTGACAGAAAGTGGTGAAGTTCGTGAGGATCTAAAGTTGCCAGAAGGGGATCTTGGCAAAGAAATAGAAGGAAAATTCAATGCCAATGAAGATGTGCAGGTAAGTATAGAGGGCAGACAAGAAGAGTTATGGCTAATTCCACTTGGTTATACAATGAAGAAGTCTTATTCTGATATTGACCATTTGTATCTCTCCGTGAAGAGCAGGTTAGAAGCACGGGAATTGGTCCTTTGAGATGTAGAAGGACTTTTGTACTGGAGCACTCAATGTGGCACTGAAGCCCAGCTCAGTTGACAGTGAGGTGATATGGGTGTCTCTCAAATGTCTAGATAAACCCTAACAGTGCCGTCCGCACGGTGTGGATTGGAGCCTCCAGGCTTTCTTAATTGGGACCAAGTGTGGAGTTTTGTGATGTAGTCTGAGTAGTCTAATTTGCTATGTTAGCAAACCTGTCTGCAAGGAGCTCTGCAGACTGTAGTCTATACTGGGCCACACCAGTTGCTAGTTTGGCTCTATTGCAGGAGCTTGTTCATCTTCCTCCGTTGTATGAACGTCATGCTGTCAGCCAAGGCGATATGGCAAAGAGAAGGCAGCAGAAGAGCAAACTGGTGGGAAGGGCAGATGTTGGGAAGATTCTTCTAATGACTGAGTTTTACTAGCTTCAACTTCCTTTTTTCTTCTCAAGAGAGATGGGTTAGATATTAAAATGTGAAAGTCTGTAACTTCTAGGAGTGCTTCCTCTGGCATGGGTTGGAGCTCACCTATCTGTCTTTTCTTCCAGATATCCGTCATAAGTGCAATGAACGAAGAATGTGCTGTAGCCATAAAGCCTTGCAAATAAAGAGGATCACCAGGCTCGGGCAACTGCTCAGGTCTGGACAAACCACAGATCTATAAATTTGGTTCTTATTGTCACCAAAGCTCTGGCCTTCACAAGCAACCTCATTTCTTTTTTGAATTGTTAAAAAGCAGTGCTGGATTCTGGATTAGTGTTGCAGGCTAACTGGCAGTTTTCAAAATCACTGAGATTTTAATTCCTTAATTGTAACTATTTTAACATTCCTGTGGGTTTCAGCTATGGATCTAAGAAACCAATCAGGTGTTACTAGTGGATATATTTTTATTTGCTTGAGCAAAACAGTGTTTGTCTGTATGAACAGACAAAATACAGTATTCAGGGGCTTTTAGATAAGCTGGTAGGTATCTAGGATTATAAAGTGACCTAGAGCACAAATAGTATTTTTCTTGACATGTTTAGGTAGAACTGACAATAAAAGTAGCATTTTTTTTTTTAAGCTTAACTATTTTGTGGATTGGGACTCTTGCAGAACTGTAGGTGCCAATCGCAACTTTTAGACCAAGAAACTCAAGTGATCAAAAATGCCAGCTGGCTTGACCAAGCCCCCAGTGGCCATGTGCAACTTAACTGTATTACCTCTGTATTCTTCTTTGCCAACTTGTTGGCTTAATGTAAGGATAAAATGGTGTCAAAGCCTACCTGTGGTTTAGGCAGGCAGTTGGAATATTGGGTAGATAAGACATAGATAGGTCAAGGGGACACAAAGGTGAGAATGGATGTTAAAGCTATAGACTTTCACTCGAGGCCTTTGTCAGACTTGAAAATAAAATAGAAAAATGCAGTTCAATTGCTTTCCTTTATTGTATTTATCTTAAACTATAAAAGGGTCACAAACTCCATGGGAATCTGTTGCAGTGCTTCCAGCTTTAGGTTTTAATCTTCAGGTTCAGACCATATTTTTGTAGCAGAGGGACCACGTGTTTTTCAAAAAGTGGGACAAACTGTAGCATTGAGCCTAAACTAAATGCATGTGATTCTTTTTAAAAAAATACAACTATTGTATTTTCAAATTATAGACTTGACAGACAATACTGAACAACCATGGCTTAACTATAAAAGTAAATAAATTGCTACATAGTTATGAAAGCTAGCTCCTCTCCAAGGGAGCTCTGAGTCACTGAAACATGCATACATGCCTCTAACTATTTAGTAGCTTAACAGGCAAACACAGGGCTTCACGGAACTAGTCACGGAAGGATAACTAGCCTGCTCCTGTTTAAGGCGTTCAACTTGAATTCTAAGACTTGGTGACTCTTCATGAGTGGGAAACTTCCTTAGTCCGTGGCTCAGACCTCTCTTTGCAGTTGCTAAATTGTTTCATGAACTTGCCTTAAGCTTCAGTGGCTGTTGGCTAATGGAGGACAACTTGTAAACACGTGGCATGCTGCCCTGGACAGCACGCACAATTCACACTCTATTGGCAGTGAGAGTCAGACTTCACGCTGCTGTTAACTGCTTAAAATGTTTTCAGCTTAGTAGTATGTACTCTCTAATCCCCAAAGGGCTCATGGCAACTGTCCTGAACTGCCCTTGTACATACTGTGGCAGGGCTTAGCAAATCTTGGAGGTCTAACGTAGATGGCAAAACCGACTTCTCATGACAGGGAGAGCAGTACAGTGAAGGTAAAGACAGCAATAAATATACTCTGGTAATAAAGCACAGTTACCTGGGACACCTGGCAGAAGTAGGATACTGCCACACGCTCTTGCCTAGCACAATACACATTGCAGGTGAACTCCATAAATAGCACCTTGACTGAAATGGCAAAACCGCTTATAAAAAAAGCTGTAGATGCAAGAGATTGACATGCATTCCGAATGGTTTTGAAGTGCATGCTTAATAGTTCCAGCTAGTCTGCACTGTGCTCCTTTCTGCCTCTCCATCGAACTGGTACCTGAAAGACAGGCTTTGTTGGCTTTGGAGGTGACTGTGAAACCATTGATGATGGTCTTGCAAGCAAGCTGAGCTGTGTGATGTCAAATGGGAAGTCATAGGTTGCTATGTCAAACTAATGCAAATTCTAATGCTATCACGGCATTATGAATGCTTCTAATATGCTTGATAACTACGAGACTTGGATTTGTCCTTGTTCTGGTAGTGCTTTAGTCTACTTTCAGGTGCCTGTCTGTCCTGTAAAACCTTGTTGGAAGGAAGACAGGCACTTGATGCCCCTGGCCCACAATCTGAGCATTTACTTAGACTCTAAGCTCTCTGGGACGAGGGCTGGTTTTTGTCCTGTTCCTACAGGTGGGGTCCTGGTCTGACTGGAGTTTTCAGGTACTACAGCAATCTAAAGATAGAGGTTTTATGACCTCCAGCTTGCTGGAAGAGCCCTCCTTGGGACATACGGATGTCCTCCTATTGCAACCTTCAGTTCTGCAAGATTTAAATGATTAAGTACTTCATTATAGGTTTGTTCTTATATACTTAGTTGTCTTTTGTGAAGCACTTCGAACACTATGGAAGTGCAGAGCGTTGGCTCGTCATGCATGAAGTTTCCCATAGGTGATACATAAGCATGAGTCTTAAGCATAATCTCCAAGTTTCAGTAAGGTTAAAAGTTGCTTCTAAATTAGAACATGTATTTGAGGCTTTTTTTCCAAAGTAAGATGTTTCAGTTTACTGTCAGAATCGTTTGCAACAAACTTTGTTTGTGATAAATAGTCCATATAGATGTGTATTTTTAAGATCCCTAACCAAATGCTTAGGGAAATTATCCTTTCATAGCTTTACTTTAAAACAAATCTTACCAATGTACTTGTTCTGTAGTACTGTCTTAATACTTAAAGTGTGTCAAAACCGAAAACTATAAACTTGTAATAGCTGAAGCAATTGCTTAGAGTAAAGGCTGTGAAAACTAGGAGGTGAAGAAATGTATTTCCTCTCCAAATAATGCATTTTTTTTTTTATGGCTCCAATTCATTGAGTTTCTCTTACTACTTTACAGAGTTGGAAAGACTGCAGTGTTTCCTGCCTTCAAATGTTGGCAAATAATACTTTAAGATTTCAGTAGATCCTTCTAATTTTTGCTTATAATGGTGGTTTTTCAACTAGGCTTTTGCTAGTTGAGCCATGTTCTCAGGGCTGTTTTTTTTAAGAAGTTAGCTGAATTTCATTGTTTTAACATAACTGCTTTCAAGCCTCTAGCAGGTTTTTCTAATCCACGATGTACCCAGAAATGGTGCACAGTCTGTAGTTTCACAGTACAGGTAATTTTACATAATCTGTAAAGAAGTCAAATTTGTTGACAGTTCAAACTCCTATGGTTACTGCAGGTCAGTCTCACAGAATTCAAAATTCAGTAAATCCCACTTTTTTGGTTGAGCAATTAGAATGTAGTTTGTTACAGTAGAACCAAACTTCAGGAGAAAAAAAAAAAAAGGCCTTGTTAAGGATATTTTGAGTATCTCGCTTGTACGCCGAGAATGTTAATGGAGGCGTTGTGGTGGAGCGTTCAGCACGGTACGCCGAGAGCATCAGAAGTCTCCAGCATCTGCCGTCTGGTCCTACAGTATCTGGCATCTGAGAGTAACTTGGTTTGTGAACTTAAAACGGAATGTTTGCTATGTAGCGCTGTGTTGCGGGAGCCCCCTGTTCTCAGTTGTCCTGTGCTGTATGTTGTAAGCGTAGCTATTGTTCGGTGTGGCTTTCAAAGCGGGGAAAGAGGAATGATGGCGCTGATTCATTTTACTGATCGTAGCAAAACCCAAACCCTGTAAACCGTGCAAACCGGGAACGGTAGTCCTTGTGGTTGAGACACGTGTCCGTTTTGGAAGCTGTATTGTTTTTGATGCCATGCAACCGATCGGGGGGGAAAGATGTAAACGTGTGTTTTGCTCCAGAAACAATAAAGATGCCAGTGCTGCGGGCAGCAGGGTGCTGGTTAAGATCACGGGGACCGCTGGGGAGTCTTTAACGCTTGGGGGAAGTTGTTGAATGGACCCGCAGGCTCCAGCTCCGACTTCGGTGCAGCGAGGACAGTCTCTTCTGGCGGCGCTCGGTCCCCGCCGTCGGCCGGCACCCTCGGCCTCCCGGAGGAGAAACGCTTCGCCGCTAGAGCGGCGCGGCCTGCCGCTCGTACGGGAGCAACAGCAA